TTTAAATACATTATCCCGTAAGCCGTATCAAGTTAAGATTATTGCATCTCGATGGCGTGCGGTATCGATTTTATTCTACTGATAGACGAGTTATACCTCGCACGAAATTAAAGAAGAAAAATTCAACTTCTCTCGAACGCATCAACTTTTTAATATTGGATGCATGTTGCTCGTAGAAGTTTCCAAGTATCGTTAAGTCGAACGAAGTTTTAGTACCTTTTGGTAATCTTATTCGACGGCGAGGAAAAGTTTGTATCGTTTATCTTGGTGGTTCGTTTATCAGAAAATGAACGATTAATCAAATACACGCGAACGTGATGTCATTTATTTAATATATGTTTAAAATGATTTTTGTATGAAAGTATGTCGATAGTATGGCTGTGAATTCGACTGACGTCACACCTAAATGCAACATTATCAACGCTATAATATACTTGTTTGCTTTTACTTGTTCCAATATATCCAGTTAATTTCGTAATATTATTCAGTGCTTGTTTAATGCCGAACGAAAGTGTTGCATCAAAATGCGCAGTACTATCCTCGATCGCAACGCTCGATTTATTCTCTAAAATGTGCTTCCCCTGTCGGAGAAGTTTCAAACGTGAACCGTTTATTCTATTCTTATTCGTACTATCCGGTGAACTCCCCCTTGCGTCGTGTGTGCGTCTCTGAAGGAGAAATGTGGAGCGGACGCAACGTGGATATGTGTAAATCGGCTCTAATTGTAACATTACTGCATGCATATACATAGGCTCGTAATGCAAGAGTCTCGAGTTTATTGGGGTATACGTATACATAGACACTTGTGTATACAATATCTCGCGTTGGAAACGTTGGGAGGGCACAGGTCAAACTTGTGTGCGTGATAAGCAGATTAAACTCGATTTAAACATTCAATTTTTATTATATTCTTCCACGATAATTGTAGCATGTATCTTGAATAAGTTAATGAAAGAGTTAATTCTAAAACAAAATTTCTTTTTCTTATTAAAAAAAAAAAAAGAAAAATAAAAAAGCGTCATGATTCTACATGTACTCCGTACTCTAGTATATCGAATAGAAAGTTCATCGCGCATTCTCCCAATTAAATAAACAAAACTTCTTTCTCCTAATCGCGGTCCTCCATTTATTGCTACGCATATTCTGAAAGATATCTCTGAGAATAAATGAAAAATTCCGACGTTTGCGTCAAAGATTTCACAAGGACGCGCTACTTAAAAATTCCCTTAATTCGAGAAGTTTGCAGAGTTTCTGTCTGCGGCGCGTGTGCGTGGCGATTCGCGCGGGGAATTTGTGAAATAAAGCGATAAATCATTGCCGGGCGATCAGAGAACGAAACGTGTCCGCGGCGAGGGGCAGTTGTTCGGGGTCTCGGGCAGTAAAGCGGTAAAAATTTTGTTCGGTCCGAGGCTGGTCCGGCAACGTCCACCAAGCTGCGTGGTACAGTTCCCACGTACCTTTTGCACTCCCTCCGTGCTCCTCAGCATGGCCACCATCGGGCACCATGCAAGCACACCAGCGGTCGTCGAGCATCGGCCTCGCACGAACGAGCCTCCGAAGCGGTAGAGAAAGAGAGGCCCTCGGCGTGGACGCAGAATCCAAAGAGAAGAGAAGCAACAGGAGTAGACGGATGGTGTGAGAGGAGAGAGAAGGACGAGGCGAGAGCCCGGGCCCTGTGAACCGAGAATACGCGGACGAGAAAGAGAGAAATTGGAAGTGAGAGAAAGAGAATGTACGCGCGCGTATGTGTGTGTGTGTGTGTGTGAGAGCGAGATAGAGATAAAAGGGCTCTCTCCCACACGGTGGCGCTAAAATAAAATGACCGGCGAGAGGAATGCCGAAGCTCTCTCCTCTGTGCCGCGGAATGGCCTCAAGTGCCTGAGGACGAGACGCGCCGTAGCGACCAGGGGAAGCAGCAAGCGGATCGGCAAGAGAGAAGAAAGAGAGAGAGAGAGAAGCGGTGAAATCGGTACGTAGGTAAAAGAAGCGTTCGAGAAGGAAGAGGAGAAGAGACAGAGTGGGAAGAAGACCGACGATGGGCGACGATGCCCGAAGAACTGGGACCGATTCTCCAATCGAGCCATGATAGTAGACGTCGCCACTGTCCTCTTTTCCCTTGTATTTTCTTCCTTTTTCCTTCCCAACCTGTGTTCCCTTTCGTTCCGTTCGTTCGTTCCTTTCTCTTGCTTGCTCCTTTCTCGTCGCTTTTGCTTCTCCTTTTGCGTTCCTCTTCTTCTTCTTCTTCTTCTTCTCGACTCGTTATTCTCCTTTTGCCAGCGATTTCCTTCTTCGCGTGGCATTTGGGAGAGCCAGATCGAGAGCCGATTGAGAAGAAGACGAAGGAAGAGGAGAGAAAGACGGAAGGAATGTTACTACATTTATAAATCGCGGGCTGTGCGTCGGCAATTTGTTCTTACGTTAGTCATCCGTGGTCCGAAGAGACTGCGAGACTGTCCTCCACCTCTGGTTTACATCGCGCCGGCCAAGTCTATTATTTCTCGATGGTTCCTCTAATAGCCCGATATTTGTTTTCGTTCTCCGTCGATCTAACCGCGAGCAAATTCACAGGTACTCGCCGCCGAGTTTTTCAAACGTCCGCCTGGTTGTTTGATGTTTGAACAGTATTTTCGCCCGCATCGGCGACTCGTCCGCATCTGCGAGCCCTGCTGTATCGGAAAACCGATCGGAGAATCCACCAAACAGTCGTACCTTCGAAAAATCTTGTTAGCGACGGATTCGTTGGAAGTTTGTTGTTTGGGACGGTTGTTGTTCGCAACGTCCATGTCCGGACGAATTTATCCGCAGACGAGAAAATCTTTGTACACGGGGGGTTTTCTTTTTTTCTTTCTCGAATTAACTTCCTTCCGCTTCTGTGTTTAATCTAGTTTCCTTCCGCGAGACATTGCCGAGAAACAGCCAGCCATGCACGTCGAGAATTTTTTGTCCCAAAATTGGAATGTTTTCTCAGTTCTAAGTATATTTAAGTATAACCCAGGCGAAACAAATAAATAATAAATAAATTTATTACTTGTCAATAATTTCTATCCAGTGATGTCGTACCGACGAGTTGAAAAAGAAAGCGACGAATTATTGTATACGGTTTGGTCGCTCGTTATGGTCCGCAATCAGTTAAATAATTGTCCAAAGATTTCTGAAAAGGGGGATAGATTTAATTGAATAAGGATTTAATAAGAAGGATATAATCTGAAATCTTATGATACCTTAATCATCGCGAATAACAATGAACAAAAATATAAAAAATATAAAATATATTAAATAAATGTGCAGAAATTGTTAAAAAGGTGGACAGGTTTAATTGCCTTAATAAGAAGAATATAATCTGGAATCTTCGAACAGAACGACACCCGAATCATTGCGAATAACGTTGAACAAAGTATAAAAATATAAAATATATTAAATAAATGTGCAGAAATTTTTAAAAAGGCAGACAGGTTTAATTGCCTTAATAAGAAGAATATAATCTGGAATCTTCGAACAGAACGATACGTGAATCATCCCGAGTAACGACAAACGACGAAGTATAAACGACAAACGACGAAGTATAAAAATAAGGCGTGGCACATCCTGTCTTGGGAGCCTTAGTTACCGTTACGATATCTCCAGGTCATATTCTACAATATAACAGCAATTACAAAAGTTATTCCATCTCAATAAATACTGATCACTTCGATAAATGTTCTCGTTAGCGTTATTACCTCGCGTTTACGATGTAGAACCCGCTGTTCTGCCGACTGCAAAATCTTCTCACCCTTGTAATTCCTAGCTACTTCCAGGAACTTGCTACTACTGTTGCGATACTTTTACGATCGATGGAACCCTAGCGATAAACGCGAAATTTCTCATAAACTTACCGCCGTCTTATTCGCGACTGCTTTCCTCAAACATCAGATTTTCCTTCTATACGCGTCGTTACAACTTTATTAATATTAAACGCGTACGCATTTTTTCTTTTTTTTTTGCGATAAGGATCCAGTGACAAGGAAATGAATACACCATAGTAGTATTCGTATAATGTGATGTGGAAATTGTCTTGATAATCACATCCTCAATTTCAGAATAATTTTTCGTTGTTGTTCAATTTTATACGGGTGATCTTATATAGATAAGTTCGTCAGTTCAAATTCCTACTATTGATACGTAAGGAGCATACCAAATTTATAAGTCACTCATAGTAAAGAGCATAACTGGATATTAGTGACAATGTAAAATTGTCGATAATTTAAAGCGACTGTAAAGAAAAGATCGTACAATGAGACCAAGTTTCAGTTTAGTATGTTAAGTATATTAAAATATAATCCAGGCAAAATAAATAATAAATTTATTGTTTCTTAGTAATTTCTATCCAGTAATATACCGATGAATTCAAAAAAATCCCAAAATCGCAATGTTTTCTCAGTTCTAAGTATATTTAAGTATAATCCAGGCGAAACAAATAAATAGTAAATAAATAGTAAATAAATTTATTACTTGTCAATAATTTCTATCCAGTGATGTCGTACCGACGAGTTGAAAAAGAAAGCGACGAATTATTGTATACGGTTCGGTCGCTCGTTATGGTCCGTGAAAACCAGTTACCAGCGCAGGAGGTTAAAATGAGACCAAGTAGATCTTTTTCAACAAAATTATGACAGTATCGTAAATTTTCCACTTTACAGATTAATCGTCGACAAATGCAAAAAACTGACTCCGTGAAAAACAATTTATACATTTAGCCAGAATAGTAATGATGACAAGATCATAAAAGCCGAAGCAGACTGTACATGTTTCGCTCCTTTTTGCATGCAACGCGCAAACACAGTGTCGAAAAAATCCATACATATTTTCCATATGTATGTTTTGCTCGTCGCCGTGTTACTGGACGTTGCGCTCAACACTGAACGCTTAACGAGGCTTCAAATTCGCCGTGAAATTTGTTTATCCGCCTTGTGCTTGTTTCTTATCGCCTCTTAACCCCGCCTGTGTGTTTTTTGTTGTTGCAGAAACGGTGACGATGCTCGCGAGACAGTCGGAGAACAAAACCTTGACGCTGTTCGATCAAGTGTACCGGGCGATGGCGGTGTTGAGCAGGCCCTCGATAAAGGCGCTCTACCAGGCGATGGTTGATTACGTGTCGGCGAGCAACACGCCGGACACGTTGCAGCAGCCCCTCACGCGCGACATGCTTCAGGAACGGTTCATCGAGTTCTTCACCAAACTGTTCCCGATCGCGTATCACAAGGCGGTGAATCCCCACCAGTACGAGCAAGATTTCACGGAGAAGTTCAAGACCTGCCTGTACGAGACGATGGACGAGATACAGCCGTTCGGCGACATACCGAAACAGGTAGCGAAATCGGTGAGCAAGAGCTTGGAGGCGACGCGAGTGCTGGTACAGGCATTGACTCTCGGCAAAACGGTGCTGGATAGGACGGACAGCGTGCTGTTTTCCGGTACTAGCCCTCAGCAGGAAGCCTGCTACGGTGCGCTGCTCAGGATGACCTATTGTCCCAGGTGCCAGGGCATCGGTCCCTCAGTCAGGCCCTGCAGCGGATTCTGCACCAACGTCATGAGGTGAGCATCGTCTATCCAGCCTCTGTTAATTATCTAAGCCTCGCGGACCCAACCTTATTCACCGTGGCCTTTGTTAATTTTCAATCGCATTAGTCATTGTGCGACGTAGCCGACTGCCCGTGGGAAGCGTACGCTACGCTCGCCCGGTCTTTCGAAAATTCATTCAGGCACGCGCTTCTTCTTGGAACCGCACGACGAACGGCGATTCATGTTATCGGAACGTAGAGAACTCTAATAACTTGGCTTATTATTGGTATTTTATATATTATTTTTTTATATATTATATAAAATTTTATATATTATTTTATATGTCATATGAAACTTTATATATTATTTTTTTATATATTATATAAAACTTTATATATTATTTTATATGTCATATAAAATTTTGTATGTTATTTTATATATTATTATATAAAATTTTATATATTATTTTTATATCATATAAAACTTTATATATTATTTTATATGTCATATAAAATTTTGTATATTATTTTATATGTCATATAAAATTTTGTATATTATTTTATATGTCATAAAATTTTGTATATTATTTTATATATTATGTTTATATATGTATTATATAAAATTTTATATATTATTTTGTATGTCATACAAAATTTTGTATATTATTTTATATATTTTATATATTATTATTATTTGGATTGAGGTTCTCGAATTTTAATCAGAAGTAGAGTATTTCAAATCGAAAGAAATTGAAGAGAGTGTTTCGAGATTGAATAATCTAGTCTAAGTTTAGTTACGGATCATCTAACGATACTAATCGAGGGTGTTCTCTCTTTCTCCCTCCCTCTCTCTCTCTCTCTCTCTCTCTCTCTCTCTCTCTCTCTCTCAGAATGAAATATTTTAACGTTAATGAATTTCATTGAATCGATTTCAAATTCACAATAAAGTGTTTCGTTGTTGTAATGTCAATGTTTCAAAAAAATGCATGCAATACGTTACGCATCTATTTTACATACTATTTGAATGCTTTTGTGTGTCGTTACGCATAAACATGATATTGTTACGTGAAACAACTTAAATATGATTCGCTACATACGCACGCATGTACATATGTCGTTTTAATTCAGACACGACCGTCTCCAAATTCCGAATTACGCGAAGCATTGAACTCGCTGCAATTTCAAAATTACGCATAATAATATACTTGTTAACAACCATTTAGCGTACAAGGTAAACACCGGTTAACCGTGTTAATTCAAATCTGCTTATATCCGACTGTTAATTGCTGAAATTTCGCGTACGCGTTCGTCGCGGGATTGCGTTTAACGAGTCAAACCATCTAAACTGGAAAATGAACTGCCATTCAGCGGCGAAATTAATTCAAAGTTTACTCGTGCACGGAATAAAATGTCGCCTGCACGTTCCCCCCGTTCGCATGGAACGATCGCGCACGTTTAATTCGTTGCATAAAGTAATCGTACACGTTACATCATCCCGAGCACTCTATGGAATTCTGAGAGCCGGAGTAAGCTGTTTTAAGCCAGAGAGGGCGAAGTTTTAATTTCTGGCTGAAGTATCTAGACAATATCTAGAGGTTGTGTTTCAAAGATAACTTGATTGAAAAATTATATCGCACCTCGCCGGTGTGGACTATTTTACTCGAAAATACTTGCTCTAAAGTATAAAATTCGAGGCTCGACTCTCAGTTTGTTGGTATCGATTTGTCGATTTTGTGATAATTTGTCAAAAAGTTGAAATGTCACGCGTTTCATTTCTATGATTTTTCTTTTTAAATCTTTTAAAGATTCTTAGTTTTTAAAATGAGTATTTATTTGCACATCGTTACCGAATGAGTAACGCTTTCGCATCGTTACTTTATAACAGTAACAGCAGTCACTTATGACGAAGATTTTTATCGGATTTGGAAAGAACGAAAAATGGCCTCTGTTCTTTACGTCTTTTTCTTTTACCCTTAACGACTCGCTCTATATTCTACATTGTACGTTGACTTTAGTTACTTTCACTTTCTTTTATCGCCTTTGATGCGTCGTTCCCACGTGCATGAACTGATACTCGTAGAAATGTCTGGACTTGTCTGTCCAGTTTAACCTCAAGCTTCAATTTTAAGTTTTCACGCTCCATTTTAATTGTTCATCGAACGTGTCTCAAAATCTCTTAACTCTGTTTAAACAAGGAAATGCAAAATTTCGTCGGAGGACATTAAAGGATATTAAATCATCTCGCAACGTTCGATAATATATATATATAAATTATAAATATAAATAAATTTATGGAGTTTGCGGTTAAATGAATTTATTTCCCCGAACTCACGGTTTTCGGAAATATTTGCAATCTCGTGGCATTTCACGAAACAATAATTCCGCAACATTTTGGATATTTATTGCGTTGCAACACGTACTCGTATATAATAAATACGAAGGCAAAACAAATCTATTGGTTACAACCCAATAAAAAAAAAAAAAAATCACGTTCCATTTACGATCATTTTGCTCGTTAACTGAAATTTAAACCGAAGCGTGTTTAAATAAAACGAATTATATTTCGCAAAAAGAAAAAGAAAAAAATAAATAAAAGAAGAAGGTAAGAATAAAATATGCGAGTAATACTCAGCTCGACAAATAAATAAAATTAAAATGTCCGTCGTGGAGAAGGGACGGCGAATAAGTTTGTTTAACGATCGTAAATTGTAAATAACCGCAGTTTGATCGATCAGTTTCCGGATTCCTGGGACCAGAGTGATTCTTTCGCGGTTAATTTATCGCGCACGTATCCACGTCCCGATGAAACCACTGAAATCGCTCACTCGACGTCTAAATATACCCACTGAGGCACGTGGGTGTGAACCGAAATGCGTTTTGAACTGGATTCGTTGCGTCGTGGATGATTTCATTGTGTTCCTTTCCGATTCGGGAAATCGCGTTGTACGTAATTTTCTCTATTCTCGTTTCCGCGTTATCCCTTGAAACATTTGTCTATTTTTAATTTTGTATTGTAGTGACGTGAATGTTAATTATAGCAACGATCGTTGCAAAATATATGATGTAAGAGTTCTACGTATGTACGAACTTCTTATAACAATCCACTTGTTTTAACCAGTAAAGCCTCTACTTTGACAGTTTTGAATTTGTTTCTTTTTTCTTTTTTCGTTTTTAAATTTTCACGTTTCAACATCGTGTGAAATGGGATATTTTGTGATAATTTTTTGGAAGAGTTGTAAAAATTCAGGCGAATGAAAACATTGAAACATTTTTTTCATGATTGAACTTATTACAATTTACAAGATTGAAGTTTCTTCTTCGTAACGATCTTTTAAAATTTGCTGTACGATTTTTTGTCGCTGTTTTATTGAACTTTGAACTTTTCAAATTTATTGAATTTTAAAATAACTCGTGGAAAATCCTGATAACTTGCTGAATTTTCTTCGTGTAACTTCAACATTAAAAGTTCTATAAAATGGCACAAAAAAATCGCACAGTAAGTTTTCGAGAGGAAATTTCAATTTTCTAAATCTGGACATAAGTGATAAGTTCAATCATCAAAATAAATTTTTCAGTGTTCCTGCAGACGTTTGAAGTTTTATAATTTTTCCCACTTTTCCATTTTCTGTATAATGTCAAAAAATCTTTGAAAAAAACGAAGTCAGAACAATTAAAGTAGAGGCGCCACGCTTTGAAACAAATCGATTGGAGCGCAATTTTTTTTTTCACCACAACAATTACGACATTTACGAAATATTTAAAATATATACAAGAAAAACTCAAGAACTCTCATCGAGCTGTCTGAATACTTTTGGTCGTGGACATTATGTTTCCATAAAGTTTAATTAATTAAATAATAAAATTATTTATTATTAGTAATTAGTAATTACTAATAAATAGTAATTATTCATGGTAGACAAACACGTGATAATAATTTGTCTTTCTCAAAATTCACTGAAAATTTCTAAAGAACAAACGTCGATCAACTCGTCTTTTCGTCTTTTCTTGCGTAACGTAGCGTCGCGAAACGCGTGAAAGTTTTCTGTCTACAAAGGTATTTAAATATTTTCGTTGTACATCAAAGACGAAGAACCGCAGGGAAATACGTACGGCCGGATGAAGTATCGTTCTCGGAGGGAGGAATGAAAATATATATTATCTGATTGCAGAGGTTGCCTGACACAGCCAGCATCCGAACTGGACCTCGCATGGTCTGGTTACGTGGAAACGGTGGAGAGGCTCGTTGTGGCGGTCGACGGTCGTATGGATCCGTTGCGCTTGAATGCCGAGAGGGCTGTCAGACAATTGGACACCCGCATTTCGGACGCCATTATGCACGCGATGGAGAACGGGCCGGCGCTCGAGGAGAAGGTGAGTACGAAAGAATTCGAGCACACGCGTAATCTTCGTCCGACGTACAGGGTGAATCTTCTCTCTTGGCTACAGAATGCACATTATTCTTGACGTATGTACATGTTCTTCATTTTTCTCCTTGTATTCGTTTATTCTTTAAACTCGTAATACATCGTATTTATACTGTGACCAGTTTTCGAGTCACTTCAGTCAGATTCTGGTTAATGTAATAGTAAAATTAACAATTTTTTGGTTTGAAAGATTGAAATGAATTTCAGAAACTATATTTAAAAAAAGTGGTACAAGTGTATTTTGTTTAATCTTCGTATCCATTCATTTTTTACCGTGGCCATTTTTGGGGTCATTACTGGTTTCTAGTTTACGATTTATATTATTATGAGCTACTTAAGTCGGAAGCTACGAGTCTTTTATAATTAATCATTTTTAGTTTAGAAAGTTGAAATCAATTTTAGAATTGGAGCTACATTGAAAAAGTAGTAGTATCTTTTCTGAGGAATTGGAGTTGATATTAGAGTTCAGTCTAATTTATAATTTTTAACAAAAACGACAAACGTTACGGTAAACGATAAGATTCATGTTTATCTGGAAAATTCTGTTATGAACTATCTGTATTGTTAATAGTCTCTCGGGAGATTTTTCTAATCGAGTATCACTTTATCTACGATTTTCTTTGATGAGAAAAATTTTATCATTTGTACTACTTTTCTTTTTTTTTTTTTAAGCACTTCTAGTCCACGTTGTCGAACTATAATCTCCATCGTCTGATATATTATGAGTCAACGAGTTTAAATAGATTGATATAACTTTCCAACAATCGAGCGGATTGTTCAATGAGAAATTTGTTAATGTTTGTTTGCGAACGTCGTGTTTGACGAATTATCATTTGGAAGATAGCGATCTCTGGTTCCTCAGCGTTCTTGATACTCTGTTATTACTGAAAGTGTTCCGTGTGCGATCACGTATGGTTGATAACCGTTGCAACAATCACGCCGATCGATAGAACATTCACCTTTTGCAAACCGTTTCCACACACATGGAAGCGGCAAAAACAAATACTTACGCATTTTCCATCGTTTCTTTCTCCCCTTTCCTCCGATTCGCAACTATATATTTACGCGAACGGCGTAAGCTGGTTATATCAAATTTTTCCCGATAGAAATTCATTGAAAGAACGATTCAAAAATATTCAATTTCAACTAGCAACAATAATTATTCCAAGATAACTGTAAGAACCAATTCAATGAAACTATATCATCTCAAACATTTATCAGATATTTATTTTATATTTAAATAAATGACACTTTTTTTGAAAAATTTTGCCGATAGACATTCTTCAAAAACATTTAATTCCAACTAAAAACAACAATAATTATTTCAAGATAACTGCGAGAACCAACTGAATGAAACCGTTTATCAGATGTTTCTTTTATTTAAATAACACCTTTTTTCGAAAATCTTCCCAATAGACATTCTTCGAGAGAACAATACAATTCAATTTCAACTAAAAAGCAACAACAATAATTATTTTAAAAACCAACTGGGTGAAACTGTACATTCGTTTCGAACATTTATCAAATGCTTGCTTCATTTAATAATAAATAAGACGCTCTTAATATCCAGAAAAAAAAAAAAAAAAGAAAAAGGTGTGCGTTTCGGGCGGAATTAAACGAAAGAGAGGAAAAATTTTAAAATCGGGAGGGAAAGGAAGAAGGAGGGCAGGCAGTGACGATAACCGGAGAAATTTTTCGACGTTGCTCTCGGTAAAATAAACGGCGCGGCTGGCGAGGACCATTCCAGACGATTTCTCGAGCACCGCCGCACCAGACATTCCTCCGGATCCTCCTTTTTGATCCTTTTGTCAGTCCTCACGATTCGCATCGTGAAACCACCGCGTCTACCTGCGTGCGCGGACTTGTGCGTGCTGTTATTTTTGTTCTCATTGTTATTGATATTAGCGCCGGCAGGCGAAGGAACGCGAGGAGCCACGAGTATTATGCGCGCGCCGCCATTGTATGCATTTCCATAAATTTGCTTTTTATTTAGGAGGGAAACGGACGGGACCAATTTGCGGCCACGATATATCAAATCTCTCTCTCTCTCTCTCTCACTCTCACTCTCACTCTCACTCTCTTCCTCTATATAGTCACCGTTCGTGATACACATACATATATATAAATGATCGCGAGAACTTTCCGGAAACTACGGCTCTGGCATCGCTTAATCTCGAATTTAGCGGGTCTGTTGTGCGTGCGCTGAAGCTGGTACGTGTACGTGTGTCGCGGGAACGAACTTTCCGAAAGGATGCGTTTCGGCCCGGGGACGTTATTGTTGACTCGCGCTGTACTTATCCCATAATTTACGCGAATTTTCGGGTTCGCGTTGCTCGTTTTAAAGGCGCGTCGCCTCCGTTCCCCGAAATTCTATGGGAGAACGATCCTCGGGGGATCTCCTTTGGAAAGTAACCGCCGTCGCGGATGCATTCAGGCGGCTGTTGTTCTTGTCGTTCTTATTTGTTCGAAAATGTGGAGATAAATTTCTTTCTACCGTGAGTGGAAATGATCGACGTGAAATACGTCGAGATGCAAGTGCAATTAGAGAATGAAAAAGATATATATATATATGTATATATTTTCATAAAATATAGAAAAAGATATATATATATATTAATTTTATATTTTTATATATATATTTTTTTCTATATATATATTATATATTTATATATTTGTATATTTTTTTCTATATATGTATGAAATACGTTTGCGGTATTGCCGTTTTAACATACTGCAAAAGATTCTTATATATTCGTGATCAAATAAGAGAGAATATGACTAAAACGAAATTATTTGAAATACGTCGAGATGAAAGTGCAATTAGAGAATGAAAAAGATATATATATGTATATATTTTCATAAAATATAGAAAAAGATATATATATATATATATATATTAATTTTATATATTTATATATATATTTTATATGTTTATATATTTTTTTCTATATATGTATGAAATACGTTTGTGGTATTGCCGTTTTAACATACTGCAAAAGATTCTTATATATTCGTGAACAAATAAGAAAGAATATGGCTAAAACGAAATTATTTGTTAAAGATTTATTATGTTTGTTTTTCTTCCCGAATTCTATGTACATACATATGTCGAGATATGACGAAATACGAAGTCTTTGAATTTTTTCGAATTACTTTCCAAATTATCGTTGCTTTCGAACTGCTTGGTAAATAACGTCACAAAGTGAAAAGAAAACTCCGAAAGCCAAGGATATCGTGCTACTAACTTGCTCCTGTACAAACAGTTTCAGCTGTTCAGATAAATTATATAAAAAAAGATACAAATTCATAAAAATCGCTGTTTTTCTTTCACGTCGCTGCTGATACCGCGCGGGAATGAAGGTCAACAGAGAGTGCGAGTAAAATGAAATCAGAGATCGGAACCGATGTTAAAACCGATATCGCGAATTTTTTTTTTCTTTCATCTTTTTTGCGATGGAAATTAACGCAAAGTAGATTAAAAGAATCTCGATAAAGAAAAAGTTCTGTCGGCGCGTTGATACGCGAGAGTAGGAAGTGGTACGTCATCGTTTGAGAAACATAAGGGAAAAAACTGATTAAAATGTCCTGGTTTCGTGAGGTATCGCGTTAGGGCAAAATGCTCGTCGTGAACGCTCGTTTGGACGTTCTCAACGAGCGTGCAACGTGCGACATGCAATGCTAGTTTGCGCTTGATATGCCGCTCGATGACTTTTACATGTTACCAGACTATATTTTGTCCAGATTTAGCGATGTCTTGGAACCCCTCGAATGTCTCACTCGATGGGAGGTGTTCCCTCATCGATGTACAGTGGCCAAGAAATGAGTTTTTACACGAATAGAGGAGAGAAAACGAAACGATGGAAATATTTTTTTTTTCCTTGGTATCTTGACAGCTTTTTACGAATTAAAATATTTTCTTGTAAAGGTCAACAATTATCATCTTAACGTTGCCGTTTAACTTTTCTCCTCTTTTCATATTTACGAGATATATAAAATTAGAACGGGATACCTTCATGTTAAACTACCTTATTGTTAGATTCTTTAATAGTATATATAATTATTCTTTAGTATATAATTATTATTAGATTCTTTAATGGTATATATTCTTATAATTATTATATATTCTTTATATAATTATTATTAGGTTTTTTAAATAATATATATATATATAAAATAGTATTTATTATTATATTTAGTATATAATTATTATTAAAATAGTATATATTATTAGATTCTTTAATAGTATATATTCTTATAATTATTATATATTCTTCATTATTATTAGGTTTTTTTAATAGTATATATATACATAAAATAGTATTTTAAATTTACAGTCGAAATTTATAATCTCGTTGCCACGTGGATCTGTAGGTTTTATTTGTTTCGCGTTGCGTTTATAAAAATTCCAACTTTCCGCGGTTGAAAAGTCAGCCGATCAATCAAATTAATCGGAACGCGTGTTTTGGTTTTGGAGCGTTTCAATGTAATCGAGAAATATGCCTCGTGAATCATTGCCCCTCATTCGAAATGTCAGCGATTATTGACAAGCAAGTAGAAGGAAGATATAATTGTGGTAATAAAATAATCGTTACTGGCGCAGATAAGAAGAGTTGAAAATAAGCTGAATGCTAACGCGATCGCGTAACTAACGCAGTTTAAACTCTTCCATACGCGACGTTTTAAATAGATTCATTGAGATAAAAGACAATAAAAGAACAATGTCGCGCTAAATATTTTCCAGATTCATATATGTATATGAATATATTTATCTATTATTACAATATAAATTTTTGTATGACTATTACTCGAATGTTGTTTAAATAAATAATATTCGTCATTTTATAAGTTTAGTTGTGTAACGTGAAAACGATGACGAAAACTGAGACAATGTTTTAATATTAGAAACGTTTAAAGACCCTCTTTGCATACTGTTTTAGCTTTTAAGCA